GGGGGGGGGGGGGGGGGGAGTAACCCGCACACTTCCGCTCCGCCCACACAGTCAAATCCGAAACGGAATTCACCCCGCTTGCCTGCTACAAACAGTACGGTACCCCCTGAACCATATTTTTACCGTTGACGTCGCTGCCATAACGCCTCTGTGTGAAACGTTGCGGCGCCAGTTTGGTTTTGACGCGGCTGTGACCTTCTGCTTGTGTACCGTGCATACCTCTGCTGCTTTCTCCCCGACGTTGCGTATGGCTATTGCCGTGCCACAGTTGGGAACATGCGGTACTTTGGTTCACAGATCGAATATGGCGGTTGAGGCTTTCCGTTTCTTCTGACGGCATTATTGTCATGCCACTGGTTTCTTGTCCGACGAAACATGCGGTACTTGACTTCACCATCCGAGTACTTTTGTTGTGGTCGAGGTTACGATTTTCTGACGGCGTTCTTATATTTGTGCCGTTGCTGATTTTCTTTCCCGGGGGTCTCCAGTGGCGGTGGCGGCGACTCGGGGCGGCAGCAGCAGGATGACACCGGCAGCCGCGGCTCGGCGGAGCAGACGGAGTTTGCGTTCCGGCTGCACCTGTACAAGGCCAAGGTTTTGCTGCTGCAGGAGCAGGTGGGTTAGAACCTTCGCGACAGCGGGGAGAGGAAGGCCTATTCAGCAGTAGCGCACAATGGCCCCTTCGCAAGGTCGGGTTTAGCATGGCAGGCAGGGTGCCCTGCCCTGTACAGCGCCGACGCCATCGCGTAGCACCGCTTGTCGTTGCTTTAGTAACCCCCGACTGACACTTTTCCATTTTGTCACAAGATGTTTTCCGATGTAGTCCAGCAGGATGAGGGGAGGGGCCCGCACATCCTGGAATGCACACAATGCAGAAGCCCCCGTGCTTTGCCGGCTGTTGTTTACCCGAAAGAAAGACCACTCCCTCCACAACCGGTCGCCCCGTTTGTCTAGTGGGTAACCTCGTAGCCTGCTAAGGGCCAGGTCATGGGTTCGAGTCCCGGCAGAGTGAGTTTTTTTCTCACTAAATAAATCCTGGTCTAGGATGAAAGCGACGCGTTGCAAAGCTCGTTGTTAGTAAACCAAAATCGACTTCGTAAGTCGCGAGGGAAGGGATTGCTGTACCCTTCTCGCGATAAAAATACCTCAGGCAGGAACCGCAGGAGGGGGTCCAGCCCCCCCCTCCTATGTGACCCCGGTTGGGTCGTCTAGCTGGTAGAAGTGGAGGATAGGGGCCAGAGGGGCAGACGACGGAGTCCAATGATGGGAGAAAAAAAACAAATGCAATCCCGTCGTTTCATGTATCCGTTTTAGGCGAGTTCCATGTCCGGAACGGTGGTTGTTTTCCCGGCCATCCTACCCCTAATCCTATCCCTAGGGCCTCTGGCATGAAATGGAGCAGCAGCGTTCGCGAGGACGTTGGCATGGTTTTTCTAGCGGGTACGGGGTAGGATTAGGGTCACGAAAATCCCCTCTGCCGTAGGTTGCGTAAGATATCATCCCCCCCCCTGGGCCCACTTTCAAAGCTCGATTACTCCACGATAGTAAGGATGCCGAAATTGAAGTGTACCATTGGAAAGCTCTCGACGAGGCCGTTCCAACGCCGCCATTTTCGGCACCGCCACTGCTTCTCCTGCCGAGATATCGAGCTTCGGAAATCGACCCAGGGTGCGTGATATCTTACGTCATGCAACCCACGCTAGTTCACATACAGCGCGTACTATCCTCGCGAAGGGGGTCCACGTGGAGCCCCTCCTCTCCTGGTCAAAGCCAGTGTTGTGTTTTTTTTCGAACGTGTCGCCCCATCTTGCCCTCTCCCGTAGACGAAGACTTCCAAGAAGGAGATCAAGAGCGCGCTGGAGATCTTCCAACGGGAGCTGAGGGGGTCCGGCGATGCGGCCAGCGGGGGGGGGGGAGGGGGCACCGGCAGTCAGCAGCAGCAGCAGCAGGGGACCTTCTCCCCTGTGCCTCCTGCCGGTGTCCAGAACATGGCCGCGCTGTACCTCAAGGTGGGTACTCCTGCTGTAGTCAGGCACCGGAGCTAGCGTCTTCGCATCGCCACAATATGATCTTGCCTTGTGATGCAGGTGGGGGGGCGTACTCTTATGTTTTGCATGTAACGGTTAGACCACTGACTATGCGTCCTCGAGAGGACAGAGCATTGTTCCCACAGGACCGATCACCGATGTCCAATTGCTGCTTCCTACTTTTCCCCCAGGTGGCTCAAAGTTGCGGTGCGGGGGCGGGTGCTATTTTGTTTGGCCTTAGCTGTTTTGATGTTTTGCGCCGTTCTTTGGTCTTGACAGTCCTCCTTGGTTCGTTCAGCACCCGCAAATTCCGTCCTAGTTCTGCACCCAGGGAATAAATATCCTGTACGGGTCGGCAACAACTATGTAAAACCCGAGGGCTGTAACTCTCACGCACGGGAAGCAGGGCGTGCTACGGCAAGACAGGGACGCCTGTGGTCAGTATCAGTAGATGCATGAACACAAAAAACATATATGTCATTTCGTCCCGGCATTGTAGGGATGCGAGGTCAACGGTCTAAATGACTACGGTGCCTACAGAACGCGAAACGTTTGGTTACAGCTGGGATGCCCAATATAACCATGGCGCATCTGGTTTAGCACAGCAAGCGGATGGATGATACCAGCTCATGGTTCATCCTTGTGCGACGTAGCCTGGGCCTGCGAAAACCCGGCTCCGTTTCCGCATTGCGAAGATAGGAGGTCATTAGTCTACGACTACGGCATGCGTGAGTACATCATGAGTACACCCCCCGCGAGCAAGATTAACGCTTTGCCTGGGGAAGCTTCATTTTTCTGCGAGGCCCCCTTGCGGCATGCGTTCACATGGGTACTCCCCCATGCCCCGATACCCTACCGTATGAACGCCTCTGCCAGGCAAACCTCGAGTACCTGCGGGATAACCACCGGAAGGCTCTCAAGCTGCTGGCGTCGTGCCACGGATTTCAGGGTGCCGAGGAGTACTCGGGCCCCGGGGAGGCGGTTGGTCCTCCCTACTTCAACAACATGGTGGGAATGTGTTGCCGTCGTTGTGGTTTTTTGTGGGGGGGGTAATACTGTATTGTTATTGATGATAGTTGGTATTCGTCTGGCTTCCCTATGGAGTACAGGAGGAGTTCGGGCAAATAACCAGACCCTAGAAAGACGGGTGAGTGTTTTTGCTCGAGTATTTTTTGTTTCATCTGCCGCTGCTCTGCCGTCGGGGTGGCGCTTTTGGAGGGAGGCGGGGCGACAAGTAGTGTGTTTCCGGGGGAGGCGAGCGACCACCGTTGGTTGACTGACACTATTGCGTATCCTGCCCCTTGTTTCTTACAGGCACTCACACAACTGCTGCCCCGAACGTAGCACACACGCTCTACCCGAAGGCAGTATCCTCGAACAATGCTTACACCCGCGTAACACTACGAACAGGGCCTAGTCTGTTCATCTGTTAAGCACCGTGCTAGGATGCGTCATAGCCTCTCACTTTGCCTTGCCATGCGTAACCCCCACTCGTTACTCCCATCCCATGTAGCATAGCATGGAGAGACCCTTGCCCTTTCGCCAATCCTTTCTCTCTTTCTCTCTCTCGCCCTCTCCCACTCTGTGCGTGTTGATTCGTCGTCATCATGACTTCATCAATTACCATCAGGGCTGCTTGCATCATAAGCTGAGGCGGCACCATGTGGCCCTGCACTACTTCCAGAAGGCGCTGGAGGCGTTGGGCAAGGGCGGCGAAGCGGGGGCTAGTGTTAGCGGCGAGGCGGCGGCGGCAGGGCGGGGCGGTGGAAAGGACGGCCATGTGTCACCCGCGCCAACGTGCGAGGTGTTGTATAACACCGGTCTACAGCTATTGCTCACCGACAAGCCCGAGGAGGTGAG